TATCCTCATACCCTCTTCGATCACGTAGAACTTCATTTCCTGAATGGTTCTGACGGTGTTCAATGGTAGGGTTATCTTCCCTTTAGTAGTTTCACATGCCATGTTGAATCTGTTTAAGACCCGGACTGCAGGCACTATTTGGTGTTGTAGACCTAGCTACTCTACGACCCTCGATCTGATGATATTGGCCGAGCTACCTGGATCAATCAACACACGCTTAACTCGAGATTTATTTATAAGTACAGAAATTACCAGTGCATTATTATGCGGTTGCACGATGCCTTCAGCGCCCTCGTCGTTGAAAGAGATGGTCCCCTCCGACATGTAATCTCGGGTTCGCTTTTCCCTCATAATGGACACGTCTCCCTTCGGGATAGCCGCCTCACGTACTCAGCAGTGGTCTTCATGTGGGCCTCAACTGCTTCAACATAGGCCTTGTATTGGGTCACCATCTCATCAGCATTGTCTCCAACCCGGACCTCGTTATTTCGAGCTCCAAACCAAGGGCATCCCATTCAGTGATGGCCGAGCCCAGTTGTGCTTGCAGATCCTCATTTTGCTGAGTCCTTGTATCAGCCTTCTCCTTCTCCACCCAAAGATGAACTTCCACCAAAGACAGCATGGCCCGGGCGGTCTCCTTCTCCAAGGCCAGCAGGTCCATCTTGCTTTTCCACCCATCGGCCATTACTTAGATCTCGTCCATCTCCTTGCGGAGTTGGTCAATATGGTCGATCTTCTACTGGACCTGCAAAGTATTGTTGTTAGCCTTTGCGACCGGACTCTCATTTCTAACTTCAAAAACATTTACCTTTTCCCCCAAGTCGGCGTGCTCCTACCTTAAGGCCGATGCTTCTTTCTGAGCTACATTCAGCTCGGCCTGGAGGTTCTTGGCGACCCCCTTTTGTTGCTAGCTAAGAAGCTTGTACATGTCCCTTTTTTGGGCAAGCTCCTTGATCTCGAGCTCGAGTTGTTTTACCTCAACCTGATACCGAAGGAAACTCTCGTGGTGAAGTACCAAAGTGAAGCCTGAAAAAGGGCAAAAAATGTGAGAAACATCAAACATAGATAACAATAGATCGATAGCAAGAAACGATGCCTTACTCTTTTCAGCGCCTGCTGCGCCTCATTGAAAAGGCATGGCACATTCACCTCATCCATTTTTTCCTGATCCTCCTCGGTTACCAGGCATTGGAAGTAGCTAGCTACCCACACATGAGCAGACAAAACTAGAACTGATTGATCAATTTTTGGCTCGAGCTCGGCGCGCCAGCTTCTGACGATGTGTCCTTCTTCGGAACTTCTAGGTCGCCCATCCCGGAGAAGTCGTCCAAAGAAGACGAGTTCACACTATCGAAAAATGAGTGAAGGGGATCGTCCGCACATGGACCCCCTCATTAGACTTCTCCTTTTTCGCTTAGGCCTCCTCGAGCATGGTCTCAGTGTAGGAGGGCGTCCCCGAGATCTCAATTACACCGGGTGCTTCCTTTGGAGCGGAGCTGGCATCCTGGAGAGTTTTACCCCGGGTATCCACGTTGGTCTTTTGAGTTAGAGGGGGGTTGATCACACGAGTCTCCTCCTCGAATGCATCCGAGTCCCCGAGATAGGCCATCCCGTGGGTAACAAAAATAGATTCATCCTCCGGCTTGTCCCTAAGCCGTAGAAGAGAGTCGGAATCTGGCACCCGGGAACTAGAGCCCCTCCTGGGCTTATAGAGCACCCTTTTCTTTGGTTTCTTCACCCCGGAGCCCGGGGAGCCTAAAGGTTTCCTCTTCCTTTTCTTCTTTCCCTCCGTGGTAGCAACGGAGGGATCAACGGATATGGCACATCCTGGTCCCCTTTCGAAGGCCTAAGTTCGGTGGTCTTACGCAAACCTGCAATAACAAAAGGGAAGAGGAGTTAGTGTAATAAAAGGTAGATACATGGTATTGGTTATTTAAAAAGAGGCCTTACCATGAGAACAAGCCTCCCACCGACCCTTCTAGAGTCCGCGCCATGTGCGCTCAAAGTTCGACATCTGAGTAGAGATGCCCTCGATCCATTCCTTTAGCCGGTTAAACGCATTCGAAACCTGGGCAACAGCTGCACAATCACAAGCATGAATGAGAAGAAAGAAATTGAAGATTTTTTTTTGATGTTTAAAGAGAGATTGCACTTACGAGACGCATTCCACTTCTCAAGAAATGACATGTATTCGGGGGGGGGGGGGTCAAATCC